CGGTGCCCTGGAGAGAGGAGTTTTTCCGAGCTGGAGCAGCCGGTGACTTTGACTCAGTGGCACTGTATGACCCTGCTGTGTTTCTGTCTCCGTTTTCTAGTCCCTTATATTCCTTGTTCGTGACTGGAGCTTCCCGTATGAATTTTCCTACGGATCTGATGGTGGCGCAAGGTTTCTGGAGAAGCGGCTGAAGGTGCGTTCTTTCTGACCGGGGTTCGTTTAACGAGCAGTGCTAGCCTGGGCGTACGCTCCTGGGCGATGGAGAGTGCAGAGGCAAATCTGGCGTGTGGCCCAGGGATGATACACTGCCATCACCCCCGTGGATGGAGAGCGCACGGGGCACGAGGGTGAGACCTTGACCTGGGGGACAGCCGGCGCTGGCGAGCGTAATCCGGGCAGGGAGCAGGGGACGGGGTGCGGAGCACCGGCACCAGTGAGGGTTCAGCTGGGTGGCCACGGCGCTGGTTGTTAGGCGTGAACTGCAGCGGACAGACATGCTGGTCACCGTCACGCTTACCCAGCGCCTTCAAATCACGGAAGAGGCATTTTGGGAGGCTGAGTTCCCTTGCCACGTTCAGTGGAGGGCTGAGGCCGCCTGTGCTAGGCTTCTGCCCGAGCCCAGGTCCCTGGGGCTCTCTTGCTGGGAGAGGCGTGGTGGGAGTCAGCAGATTCCCTAGAGACCAGGAACGATGTTTTAGTAATAGGCAGTGGCACAGTAAAACTGAGGGGCGAGGGCTCCGCTGGGATTAATCAGGAAATGCATGGGGGATTTGGTAGCGGAGAGACCTAATTGAAGGGGAGACAGGAAAGGCCCTAGTGGGAAATCCCAAATGTTTTTGTATTCCAGTCATACACGGACATGCCCATTTTCCAAATGATAATAACATGCCTCAGGGCATGTGGTCAGAGATACGCTCGTTCCTCGGTCGCTGGAGGAGCCTTGTCTTTGTCCTCGTGCGGCATACCCCTACGGGATGGCCTTCTGGCTTGCTCTTCCCGCTGTAAGCAGCCACAGCGCGGAGTACGCCATGCTCCTGCCAGCACCGCCAGCCCGGTGTTACCGGTGTCCCCATCAGAAGGAAACCCCCTGATCCCAAACTGGTGTCTCACAGGTCTCGGGAAATCAGCATGAAGAGCTGCAGAACGTCAGAAAGCACATCCATTCCGGCTTCACCAAAATCTCCTGCTTCCTCTTACCTCACCCGGGCCTGAAAGTCGCCACCAACCCTAATTTCGATGGAAAACTAAAAGGTACGAAGGCAAAGGTCTGGTTTTTAAGCAGATACCTTAGATGCCCTGGCAGACGGTCCCGCTGGTTCCTGAAACCTCTATAAATATTTTCCATGAAAAAACTTCTGGGAGAGGAGTTGGATCCTCCTCCCAACAACATACACGCGCTCGCCTCGTTCTTCCAAGTCCAGCAGCTGCCTGTTTATTGCCAGATGCTTTAACCTAAGGCAGGGGCGAAGGCCAAAAAGGTCTGCGAGGCCAAAAAGGTGCAGGAGGCTGAAAAGGTCTCGGAGCCGCTGGCGATATCGCTGTCAGGACAGATGGGTGATGATAGGCAGCCGAGGAAGGGCAGGGCGGAGAGAGGCCAAAAAGGTGCAGGAGGCTGAAAAGGTCTCGGAGCCGCTGGCGATATCGCTGTCAGGACAGATGGGTGATGATAGGCAGCCGAGGAAGGGCAGGGCTGAGATAGGAAGTTTATGGACCCGGTGTTAAGCCTGTGATTGTCCAGTTATGCCCCGCTTGCGATCCAGCACGGATGCAGAGCGGTGCAGACTGGTTGCTGGAAGGCAGGCTGGTGCTTGCGGAGGGTGGAAGGCCGGTTACACGTGCTCTCAAGGGAACATTATTTCACTTTGAAAAGCTTTCCAAGGAATATTTAATCTTCCTGACTTATCTAATCAGTGGTTTCCCT